TTCTGTAGCTACCAAATTACAATAGCTAATTTCATCCTCCTTCCTCTTTCCATCACTTCAAAACGAGTAACAAATTTAATAGTGCAAGACTCTGATCCTATGCAAGTGCATGTCAATGTCCAGTCAGGCACAAGTAGTCAGCATCAAGCTAGTAAAGGGAAGTATCCAAATGAAATTAAGCAACTCAGTCAAGTTTTCCCAGGATCAGTACCTCTGAGAGTAAGCTCTTCAAAGCCAAAGCCATGTATGTCTACTTATCGACACATGGCATAGGGGAGAAGGGACAAACAAACGAGTTGTAATCCCTAGTGGGAAGAATTCTGGAAAAAGAGAATGTCAATGCAAGAGTCAGTATAATTATATTTGCATGTGTTTAACATTGCGTTCTGCAGCAATATGGAAGCATTCAAGACAGCAGCTTAGATTTAATTTGGAGACAAAATTGAGGAAGTTGAAGACTTATTACAAGCCAGTGCAACTTCAGCAGCTACATGCACCTAGGCCAAAAACACCATAATAATATATTTGTATAACAGAAACCCCAGACCACATGAAAACTCCAGAGTAAGCAGATGACTAAGCTTCTAAATTGCACCTAAATGTGGACACACTCAATTTAGCTACTCGGACAAAGCACAGAACAGATGACTCTCGCAAGCTTTATCAATTTAGCAAGGTAAAGAATCCTTCAAAGTAAAAGGCAAAACAAAACGACAACGCAGGAGAGCTATCAATTAAACAAGATTCTAAGCCACCAAGTATAAATTCATCAGGAATTCAAATGTGGCTAAATTCTCCAAAGAAAAACTTTTATACATGTATAATGTGCTGTTAACAGACAGGGAGATAGCTAGACATAAATGGAAGGAAAACACACAAAGGCTCATGCTTCATATTCAAACAGAAAGCAGACCTTGACCCAGAAGACTTCTGAGCAGTTTCTCCATATCACTTGTTCTTTTTGGAGCTGAACAATACAACTGTCAAGCAGGTGGCTTTGATCTGCTCACTGCATTTACATATCATCTCAAACTAAACTTGACTATCAGCATTATTAACTGTTATAAAAAGCCACATGTATAATATTTTACATACATAGAAAACATTTCCACTAAAGAAAATTACATAAATAGAGAATCACATATAAGCACTGAAGTGCTGCTAAGCAAACTCTGATTAGAGGAGTGTGATTAAGCAATCCTAAGGAACTTATCCGAACAGTAAAAGACTCAAGATTTTTATGGATGTATTTACATGTTCTTAATTTCTAAACCCTAACTTCTGCCTCCGTTATTAGCACAAAACGTCTTATCAGTTGCGTAGTTTAAATAAAAGAATCACTCTGCCCACCTCCAGAAGTTAACTACTAAATTATTAGTTTTCTCCACAACATAAAAGGTCTAGAATTTTTTTTTTTTTTTCATAGGATGTTAAGTTACTTAGCAAATGCAGAATGGGTCAGTAAATACTAATGACAAACCACAAAGTCAGCTATATCATCCTGCTCATGTACAAGGTCCTCTGTGGAGCATCACATCTTGCAATTTAGGGAAAAGCCTTAGACCTAATTTCACACCTCCCTTCCTGTGCGAGATGATGGCTGTTCTGAGGGCTCCTTCTCTACAACAAAGGTAAATGGAAGTTACTCCTTGGAAGTGACAAATATTTGTTTCACCACTTATTTTCTCCAGACTGAATCATTTCTTTGTGCAGTAGTAGACAACGTCCACCTCTTTTTAGCTCTTCACAAAACCTAACTGGGCAAAAGTTTCAATCTATACCACACAATTAGAAGACTGTCATAGAATGTAATAACAAGGTCAACTGCAGCACAAACCTAATACTACTTGCTATATTTGTAAAGCTACTATTAAAGACAAATCTGTGTTTAAAAAGTTTAGGATAGTTTTAAAACTCTGTTTCTGTGATCAGTGGTTAATCTGTGGATTCCCCTCAAGCCAGAAATCACAGATACAACTCTTTACAAAAACTACACCTTCAAAGCATTAAAAAAAAAAAAATAAAAAAAAGAAAGCATATATGACATTTCTCCTGAAGAAACAGTACTCAAAGCTCTGGTGATGCCCATTTCTTGGGGTATCAGGAGATGATCACTAGTTCATTTAACAAAAAACTTCCCAATAAGAGATTCTCCCCCCCCTCCCAAAAAAAAGAGATTTCCCATTTTTTCCTTAATGTTATATTTTCAATATTCCTGGGGTTTCATATTAACACAAATTTAAATAATATTTAACTTGGCTCCACTAGCCCAAACAATCTGTAACATTTGTACAAACATAACTCTAAAAGTTTAGTGGCAAAATATTTGAAGTGGTGCCATTAGATCTCTTATTAATTAAAGCAAAAAGTTTCCAACTTGAACAGGTATGCGGAATTTTTAGCTCAAGAGAATGTAGAAAGAAGTGAAGACCTTTTCATAGCATAAGAGTCTAACAAGTCACTTGGTGTGTGGCCATCCAGGAACTTGTTAAAATTACTTTCCCAACATGCAAACATTTCTCCGAGATTAAAAATACCTTTGTGATTTCAGATATAATCAATTTGGTTTTATTTACAACTTAAAACAAACTAGTTAAAGACTACACATCAACCCAGTGTTACATCAAAGAGTTACAGGTTGCTGTGGACCAGAGGGAAAAATGAGATACTCTGACATATTCAGTGGCTGACTGATGTTTCACCTATGAGCAGAACTTAGACTCGGAGGAATAAAAAGTCTTTCTCTCTGTACTGCTCACACTAGAAAATTCAAGTTAGTACAATTAATAGAAATCTAGATTTGAAAGAATTGATACAAGTTTTAAAACACCGTTGCAATAAAGGCGACAGGGAACACCATAAAAACAGTGAAAGGCCCACGACGGACTAACAGAATAAAAAGCGAAGACAGTATTCAAAAATATGGAACAACGTGTTACTATGTGATACTCTATGCTATTTCCACAAGGTTTCAGCCACTGAATGCTTCAATAATACACTATTTTAAAAAACCAAACCGAACAAAGCATCCAATGCAGCTACGTTTTATATTTATCAGTAGTATATCTCTGAGGCTAAATACTCAGACTGAATATTGTGAAATAGCTACTCTTGTTCTTCACGGAGCCATTAATCTAAAATTTCAATCTGTAAATAACACCAAAAATTATCAAGACCAAGAGCACAGTGATTACGCTCTCTTTCATTCTTTTTAACACTGAACATACCAAGGCCAAGAAACTTACTCTTTGGGCTTAGCTTCTTACAGAAAGCAAGGAAAGCTAACATCTGTATGAAGTACATTCTCACAAATGAAACCCGGGAACAAAATGAATTCAGTCCCCCTAAAACTTAGGCAATAACAAGTTACCATTTTAAAGTTCTTCTCAGGTGGCCAACTAACCTTGCATTTGGGAATCATTTTAACCTGATATTTGAAAGTTTAATTCTAGCCCTTGACTCTTAAAACCATGCAAACACAACTCACCAATGAAGCACACAAAACATTTGTGTTATCACACTTACTTGATCTGTCTGGCTTGGTATACAACTTTGGTAGTGGTTTGTTGTGGGGTTTGTTGTTTCAGGGTTGGGTTTTTTTGTCTCTAAACCGCCAGGTTGCTACCCATCAATTTTAGAGATTACACAGTTTTGTGCACAGAAGTTAAGCTTTCTATAACACTGAGATCAGAAAACTATTGTTCACGCAGCTAGGGTTAAAAGGAAAGCCGATACGGCCACAAAGCATTAAAGATGGTAGAACAGTGTAGTAAGAAATCTGCATATTGCTATCATTTCAGAGCTCTCAGCACTATAAAATGCATTTAGAAACATTGAAGTATGCTATAAAATTTTATTTTGGGACAATACTTAGCCCTTAAGAGGACTCCATGCACAACAAAACCTTTGTTTGCTTAGTAACCTCACCTAGCTTGGTTTCTTGGAGGAAAAATTGCTTGAGAGTTTGAAGTATCCCCCGTTCTGTGACCCAGAAGGAAATAAAATGGGAAGTCAGGCCATAGTATCTACAGCATTTGCTTACAAGTTCAAAAACATTTTAAGTTATCAGCTAACCCACATAAGGCACAACTAACTGCGCTTTCCCGAGGTCATCCGTGGAGCCCGGCGCAGAGCCGCGCTGAAGCTCTGTTTAACATTCCATTCTGGCCATCTTCATATCTAGCACCGGGCATTCTCTGAAACATGCCATATGCTATGCATTAAGCAACGTCAGAGATGCCGTCCTCTGCATCAAGCAAGTGCCAGAACCGTATCAGAGAACTGAAGTTTGCTTTCAGCTCTCTCCTTAGAAATTGTTAAGCAAGTAAAGAGAGTCAACTAAAAAAAACTCATGAGAACTACTGACACAGAAGATTTACTATTAAGACGTTCACTATGTTCTCCTGTGCTGAGGCTGGAAGCACCCCGCAACATTACACTCCTATCATACATCCTGAAATAGATTAAAAACTAAATAACCAGCTTCCCCACAGCAGCTCAAGACAGAAATTAGAGGCTGCTTTAATGTGAGTTCTTATCCATTTGAATTAGTTTATGGCAGTAGTCGATTTTTCCACGGTGGTGAAGTCACCACGCTGAGAAACTAAGGAGAAACTGCTACCAGCCACCAGGTGAAAACATCCAGGTTTCTAATTGCATGTTAAACTGGTGTTTGCATTGACAATGATCATTGCTGGGAGCACTCCAGGTAGGGCTCTAAACTCCATTACAAGCAAGTCACTGCAAAACCCAATCAGATGGTAACCGAAACCGAAAAACCGTGGAACTCTGAAACGGATTATTTTTTTAAAAAGGAAGAACAGCAGCAGGACAGCTGTAACTTCTGAAAAGCCCCTCCCCTTCCCTCCTGAAAACATTAATCCGTGTTTGATTGCTGAAACTGCCGTTAGCATGTACTCTGCACTGATAGGCAGGTGCTGAGAAACTCATCCCAGGTGCTTCTACAAGTACTTGAGGAGCCCTTAACGGTTTTTACTTACAGTCTCTCCGCATTCCTGGGAATATCCCTCGGTACAGTTTTGAGTCCTAGTCCATGACAATCCACGTTGGAAGCAATACACGTACATTTATGCGGGCATCCTCCAACAGGCATCCAACTCGCGGAGCTCCAAAAGCTCAAGACCATTCCCAGGCACAGAAACGCACTTCTTCCACTAGACAACATGGTTTCTTGATCACTTCGGTGGGTATAAAAGTGCGTGCAAGCAGCCGGCCCTTAAAGATGAAATGCCTCTAAGAAGAAAGGGAAAAGAAAACAAGAGGCTCTTAGTACAGCCCAAGGGAACCCACCACTGCCATCGTCGCCGGAGCGCCAGCAAACCTTCAAAGGCGCCTGAAAAGGTTACGTTAGGTGGAAGAAGGTGGGGAATTGCCTGTCGGGCTCAGGTTTCTTTCTGTTATCTACGAACGGCACCAGAAGGCAGGCAGTTTAACAGAGCTTGAGCCAGATGCGTCCTCAGATGAAAGAGAAACGGGGAGCAGAGGTAAACACACACAAAACATCCATCAGAAGCGGCGGCACTCTCCCAAGCAGCCTCCTCCGCTCTGCATCGCCCCACCTGGGCCGGGCAGGTAACCCGCGAGGGGACGACCGGCAGGTCACGGCGGCCCCG